TATAAAGAAAAGTTATTGTGTATGTAAATGACAACTAAAACAACAACAACTAAAACAAATAACAACAACTACTAATAACAATAACTAAATAAACAACAACTAAATTCCATTCGTTTAGCATTGCGTCATATGTTGTTCCTACTAAATCCAAGTAGTTGTGTTTTTTTCATATTATACCCAATTGTATTTAATTTATATATAATATCCTTATGAGACTTAACACTCGCCTGTTGCAACTATTTGATGTTAAGTAAGCACCAGCATGAAAACATTAGACTGTGTTTTGAATTACATACTTTTTCTGGGTAGACTATATTCGAGGGTGCCCCCTTGATTCTCTCCAAGTTGTGATATCGATTGATCGCCAAGTTGGGCGATGTTGAAACCCAATCGTGATTCTTTTTGGTTTAGATTTTAGCGTTATTTTTAAATGTTCAACGGTATACATAATTCACAGGTCCGTTAGTTCTACGTTAGATGCCGGCTGGTAAGGTTACTTTTGATTCTGATCAATAAGATGGAAGATATGTGGGCAGTCATAAAAAGGGACTTTAGAAAAAAATGTCACCGCTAGTCCGGTATTACAGACGCCATTTTGGTGCCATGAGTTGTTTTTTTCCCCTTTTCTTTCTGCGTCTTTTCCATTAATTTTTGTTTCGATTCAAAATACTTTTTATTGGGTTTATTAATATTTCTTACATTGGGTTCATTGTAAGTTTTGGCCGATGCTTTGTAGAAATTTTTCAATGTTTTATTGAAATATCATTATGTTTAGGCCGGAACTCCTGTTACCACGGTGTTCCACGCAAACAGGAATGGCCCCAAACATAAGTCGCCAATTTCGCCAAGGGGCTCCCTCAAGTATATTTTTCCCCTTTTTCTGACAGTGTGTTTTAAAGTAAAAATGATTCCTTTTTAATCAGTGTTTTGGTGGGAAAATATTTTTCTTTAAAAAAAACTGGCTGTTTTAGAATTAACTAATCAAAGCTTTACACTTTATCGAAATACACTCTATTCTGAGTATAAATACATAAGACTTTCAGACTATCTCCTCCATTTCCTAAAAACAAAAACGATATAGTACTTTTATCTGGATCAACGCCTTTCATTATTATTTTCATTTTCTACTACTCTTTGTTTTTGTGTCACTGAGACAAAAACAGTACAGTAAAAATACAATTCCTTAATTATTTTTGTCCTGATCAAGCGTATCACGCACACTAAGATAACTCAAGCGTAATTAAAAGCTTTCCTCACGAAAGAAAATTGTATTTTGGGAACAGCTTTATGCCTAGTAATCATTTTCTTTTTATAATTTGCAACACACATTTTTTTCTATTTTGAAGGGATATAAGTAAAGCTGATTCGTAACAAATAAAATAAGCATCCAAAGAAAAGAAACGGTAATTATTCTTTTATAGAGCCTCAAGATTAATAAGATAACTCAGTTACTTCAATGGGATGATATATATATATATATATTCTTTATATTTTATAAAAATATTCGTAATAGGTAGGGCTGTCTAAAGAGGACATCTTTGTTTGAAAACCGATCAATTTCATTTGAGCGCATTTACTGCACTTAATAACAGAGTTTTTTTTGTTTTAACTTTCTGTTCCATCTGTCATAATTTGAGCAAAAAGAAAGATATATCTTATAATATGCAAAAAGAAAGACACACTTTAT